TAGTTATGCCAATGACCTATCCATAACCACTGTCTGAACTGGAAAACAGAAGTTATGTTGAGGCTTGGAAAATGAATGTTTTCATGGTTGTAAACCATCAGAATTTTTGTTACATAGATGTAGTAACTGCTGCAGGTGATAATAATAGAGCACAAATATTACAACCAATTTCCCTGTTTATTGCTTTGAATTCAAAGGGATTTGTTCATTTTATAGACACTGTTTTGGGAAGGTTTATCAAGTGTATATGCAAGATGCTGAGAATAAGGAACAATTAATTCTATCCTTATAGTTCTCAGCAACAAGAATTTTTACTTGCAAGTCAACATTAAGCTGTTCCACATGAGTAATGTTACTCTAATTATATTATTTTATGAATATCGTTCTATGAATTTAAATACTTCACATTCTAGATTGTTCTATTTGGGTGTTTAGTTTTACAAGTTAAACTTTTAATTAGTTTTTATGCTACATGAGCTGACTTTCTTCCCCCTTTGACAATTGAAAATTGCAAATGATTTTAATCATTCCTACTTAAAAGTTCAAGTAGAAAAATAGGATTGCATCTATTTCATGCCTTATGGGGTCTTTCAGAATCACTGCAATGTGTTTCATATATATAAAAGTTATTTGAAATGTATTGACTACTACCCAAACAGCAGTAACTGACTGAGGAGGAATGTTGTCCAGGACAGCAGATATCCTTGCTTCTCTTCAATAATTGTAATGGGCCCGTACCTATCAGGAAATGTAGGAAGGCATTTATTTAATTGCTTGTTCAAAAGACTAAAGAGCAACTGACCACAAAGGAAATTTGTATGATGCTGCTAGTGTGTAGCTAATAAATAATGAAGATGTTCTGATTTCCTTTGGCATTATTTATTATGGACAAGATGCCACACAAAATGGAAGTGGACAAATTCATGAGATGTTTTCTGAGGAAGATTGTTTTTATAAGGTGCAGTTTTTCAATCATCAATCACACAAGTGCTCTGTAATTCCATAAGCGTTATATAATTTTGGTTCATTAAATCACAGAACAACAAAAAGGCATCAGACGTTCTATGACGGAAGTTCAGCAAGTCCAGTTGGAGTTTGTCACATTTCAATGGCTGATCCTTTCTGCAGGAAATCCAGAGAGGTGAGTATCACATTATGCTATAGGATTAGATGGTTATCTTGCCAACTTGAACCACAGATAATGCAACAAAATTTAAATGCCCCCCCCCCCAACTCCTTCCTCTCTCACCTCCAACCCCTCAATTCCCTTCTCACTCCTTTCCCTGTGTCTTACTCCGTCCCTCCCAGGTCCTCCCTCCCTCCATCCTACCCTACTCTTGTCTCTCCCCTTCCCACCTTCCCCTCCTTTCTTTCCTTCCTTTCCCCTCCCCTTCCCATCTCCCCCACCACTTCCTCCCTTCACTTTCCCCTGTCCTGCTTTGTGGCTTCAACTCACTGTGTATCCCCCACTCCTTTTGTAGCTTATATCCTGCTGTCCCCCACATCCTGCATTCATCCTCACATCGCATATTCCCAACATACATTGATGCCGTAGGCTTGCTTCCAGAATGGACAGTGTAAGTTTGAATGGAGAAGCGTTGGGGGACAATGAGGGAATGCGTGGGTGGGAGGGATTGTTAGTTTTCTTCAAGTTTGTTTTACACCCTTCAATGAGAACGCAGGCAATTTGTGACATTTAGCAATGACCCCTCTCCTCTCTTTTGCACACCTCCCTTTGTATCCGTTATTAATGGAATTCAATCAGTGATTAAGCTTACTGCAGGAAGTTTGGCCAATAAAACTGCCACAGCACCATAAAGACAAGTGATGAGATGTATGTTCCTGAAATGCTACTCAGCCTCTCTGACCAGAAATGGAACACTTGTACCTTCTTTCTTATTGATTAGTCTTATTTCTGCAGATAATAAATTGTTAGAGGTTTTTAAAATTGACACATAAGAGAAAATCTTTTTTTTTCTGTTATCTTTCCTCTCTTCATCCAAACTTCCCTTTTTAACTCTACTTCTCCTTATTCCTAACTTTGTTGTTCCTCTGTTTTTTGTTGTCTGGATCTTTAAATCTTCTTGGCTAACAGTGTTGACTTTTGGTCTTGCTGTTCATTAAGGTTGCTGGTGCGTATTCCCCTTGTCATACTATTACCAGCGCACACACAGCAATTTATGACAGTAAAAATATTTCAAATAGGAAATATAACAAGGCAGTTCGTCAGCACTTTTTGCTATTGTTCTCATTCATTGACAGTCAGATGCCAGAACAAGAGGTTAATCTTAAGCCCATGCATAAGCATAGATAAGTGTAGCTTCAACATCATGTGTTAAATAAATAATTTACATTTATGTTGTGCGTTTTTTGAATAATTTGCAAGTAACAGTGTGGCGTCAGATGAGGGATTAATGTTGCCCAGAACAAGAGGAGAACTCCATTCACTTTTTTGATAAAGTGCCAGGAGACCTTTGTGCCACTTGATCTCTTTTTTTTTCTATTCATTTCGTGGGACATGGGCATCGCTGGCTGGCCAGGATTTCTTGCCCATCCCTAGTTGCCCTTGAGAAGGTGGTGGTGAGCTGCCTTCTTGAACCGCTACATTCCTCCTGCTGTGGATTGACCCACAATGCTATTAGGGAGGGAATTCCAGGATTTTGACCCAGCAGCAGTGAAGGAACGGCGATATATTTCCAAGTCAGGATGGTGAGTGACTTGGAAAGGAGCTTGGAGGTGGTGGTGTTCCCATATATCTGTTGCCCTTGCCCTTCTAGATGGAAGTGGTCGTGGGTTTGGAAGGTGCTGTCTGAGGATCTTTGGTGAATTTCTGCAGTGCATCTCGTAGATAGTGCACACTGCTGCTACTGAGCGTCGGTGGTGGAGGGAGTGGATGCTTGTGGGTGTAGTGCCAATCAAGCGGGCTGCTTTGTCCTGGATGGTGTCAAGCTTCTTGAGCGTTGTTGGGGCTGCACTCATGCAGGCAAGTGGGGAGTATTCCATCACATTCCTGACTTGTGCCTTGTAGATGGTGGACAGGCTTTGAGGAGTCAGGAGGTGAGGATTGATCTCCCTTAAGTGCCCAATGACACACGTTGGAACCAGTGGAGTCCTTGCTCTCAGCAATGGACTTGTCACCTGGGTGTGTTATGATGGAACTGAGTTGGTCTTTATCGGCTGCAGTTTGATCTGGACACAAAGTCAGTGTTTGGAACATTGGGTGGAGAATATAAAACAGCTGCATTTACCACCATGTCAGTCTAGTTCTTGTCCTTAGTGCAGCGCTTCTCTGAAAAAAATAGCATATCCTGGGTCTAACGCAGTTCAGCTGCACTCTCCTACATACATCATGTGGTTGACACAGATATCTGCTTAAAAAAAAACTGTGTTTGCTCATAAGAATACTTTTATACTTACTGCTGGTGGTTTTATTTGGGCCTTTGCATTGAGCTTCCTTGAGCTTTTCGAAGTATTGCTGTCTTATCAGCATTGTTGGCGGGTGATAATCCCCAATCATTCAACTGATTTTATCAATTTGAATTTAAGGTGTTGCTGGACGTTGTAAAGAAACTGGGAATTAGACACCATGAGAAGGGGACCATGGTTACAATTGAAGGTCCCCGTTTCTCCTCGCGAGCGGAGAGTCTGATGTTTCGTCATTGGCAAGGTGATGTCATCAACATGACCACTGTTCCTGAAGTGGTACTGGCTAAGGAAGCAGGCATCTGCTATGCCAGCATTGCTATGGCAACTGACTATGACTGCTGGAAAGAGCATGAAGAAGCGGTTAGTACCATATACAGTTTTTAAAATAATGAATGAACACCTCAACAAAAGATGTTGTTGTGTCACAGTGTAACCTTGTTGCTAACAGTGGGGAGGGTAAGTATAACAAATGAACTGTGTCAAGAATAACCGATGCTTCTCGTGACAACTGTTTAAAACACTACTCTGTTTTAGATTAAGGCAGAAGATGCTGGAGATACCACAGTGGATCTAGCAGCGTCTGAGAGGAAAGAAAGCAAGCTAATGTTTTTCTCTTCACAGATACTGTCGGACCTGCTGTGGATTTTGATCATTTTCTTTGTTTATTTTGGATTTCCAGCATCCACATTAATGTGCCTTAGGATCCCAGTTTTATTTCCATGATTTTTATACTAAACTGACTTCATCTGAACCTAAGGTTACATTCCCGAATTTAAACCTGATACTCAGCTTTCAAATTCTGTTCAGTCTTTTAGTAAATTTTTTTTAGAATTTTTTATTTACAGTTAGCTTTATTATCACATGTAGTCAAATGAGTACAATGAGAAGTTTACAATTACCACTTACAGCACCATCTTAGGTACAAAGGTACCTAGGTGCGGCTTCTTCAATTAGAAGATCTTAGAAAATAGAGAAATAAAAAGTCCAACTTTGCAGAAATAAAAGTTCAAAGCAAGTCAGACTATGCTGACACCTAGCCTCCAGTCCCACAGGGCATTGGCTCCAGACCACACCTAGCTTCGCCTCGAGGTTCATGAGGCTGGGAGATCACTCTGGAATCATCTCAAGACCGGGAGACCATGCTGAGGCCATGCTAGGCTGGGAGACTGCCAAGTTGGGCTCAGAGGACACCCCGGGAGGTGGCCATGCCAAGCCAGAGGATCCCTCATTGCGTCTGTGCTGAGGCCGGGAGTCATTGGAGACAGGAGTCGACAGACTCCTGAAATGTCTCCTGAACATAAATATCGACATGCTTGTATATTTTGCTAAAAGATACACAAATCATTTTGTTAGTCAGAAGGAAACATAATGTGCAGCCAAAAAAAACGTGTGGTTATGTTGTAACGTTATGCTGTTTTACATTAGGATGCTGACTGCAGCATTTTATAAGAATGTAACACACTGACTAAGGCATTAGGCTGACCAAGACTTAGTTTCACATTAATATTACTTCTATTTTGACATGTGTAGAAACTCTCAAGTACAGTATTAAATGCATTATGCAATGCATTTTTGAAGCTTTGGCCCTGTCTTAGTGAAGATGCTAAATTTTACAGGAGTATTGATTATACAGGAACAAAAACAGAAATTGCTGGAAAAGGACAGCAGGTCTGGCAGCATCTGTAAAGAAAAAAATCAGAGTTAACGTTTCAGGTCCGGTGACCCTTCCTCAGAACTCAGGGTCATTGGACCCGAAATGTTAACTCTGATGTTTTTCTTCACAGATGCTGCCAGACCTGCTGAGGTTTTCCAGCAATTTCTGTTGTGTTCCTGATATACAGCATCCGCAGTTCTTTCGGTTTTTATTGATTATACAGCATTTGTTTGTTGTCTCAGGAGATTCTTCATGTTGACACTTCATTTTGGTTATTGACAGTATCACAACGCATCGTGTTTCAGTTCTTACAGTAAGTCTGCACATGCATTTCCCATGGCATGTGACTAATTCATGCTTCACTACTTGAAATCTGCCAATTCATCTCCTCCCAGGAGATGAAACTGGAAACTGTGGATCTGGATAGCTTAGGGCAAGCCACAGAGGGAGCTGCAGTTTCATTATTTTACTGGAAGAGTGTTAGAACTGACAAGAATATGTCCTTATGTTCTAACTTCATATAGTATAATTAGACTGAGAAGTGAAAAATACGGAGTTACTTTCTGTCTAGCATGCAGAGTTCAATAACTACCATGAGTAATCAAATGCAGTCATCAAAACCATCATCTTATGATACAAAAGGCTGCCAAAATTATAGTAATAAAATCTTACTGCAAGCCATTTTGTAGGTAAATAATAATTACTCGGTTGATTCGTTCTAGCTTGAAACATCTACATTACCAGCTATCTGTGTGGTTAAGGTAGTCTTGACAGCTAAAAAAATCAAATGTAGGATGAACTTCTTAAAGCACCTTTACAAACAGCAAATGTCTTTAATCAGGCTTATTAAATCTTGCGAGGAACTGCCAGATATTTACATTCGCTCGTATGGTAGTAAGGGCACAACCTAGAATTGTTAGCAGATAACTAGGTAATCGAGCAAATATATTCCCATTCATCTTGTGTGGCTAGCAGAATTATTTCCACTAACCTGAAAATGCTGTGATGTAGTGGTGCCGGTGTTGGACTGGGGTGGACAAGGTCAGAAGTCACACGACACCAGGTTATAGTCCAACAGGTTTATAAGGGGCAGCACTAAGAAAGCTTGTGATTTCAAATAAACTTGTTGGACTATAACCTGGTGTCGTGTGACTTCTGACCATGAAAATGCTAGTCAGTACGCTTGCACAATTCAAGCTTTGCCAAAAGATAGATTTACACTAATAGCTACTGTCAGTAAATATACTTACAACGATGGTGAATATCAAAAACTATTTTTACACCAGTGGGTTTTTGCACCAATCAGAAATGGCCATCATAATTTTTTAAAATATAAACTGTTTTTAGTTTATGAAAGTATTTCACTTATCTGGTTTGATGATGCTGTAGCTTTAAGAGGTTATTTTGTCCTGGTTTCTTTTGAGAGAGAGATTGAACAAGAGGCGTCGAGCTAACTAGTTAAGACGACTTGAGTAAACAGCTTGAGAAGCCTTGGGTTTTTTTTTAGCAGCCTGAACGGGTGTGGCTAGCTGTCACAGATTTGAATTTCTGGTTTTGGTTTTTCAGTAGCAACAGAAGGTATTGGGGCCTCAACAGAGTTGGAAGCTTCAGTGAATGTCTCCTGGCTGCTACTCTCTCTGAATTTCTCCTGGATTGGAGAACTGCATGTGAGAATCTGTGTCTGAATTTGCCTTTTTGCCAAGGGTTGTGTTTATGGGATGTTACTATATTGGAACAGTTAATTAGTAATAGTTACTGTATCTATTATTCTGTTAAGTTTTCCAGTAGAGTTAAGTTTTTCCAAGTTCCTCTTTCTTTGGTTGTATGTTAACTACAGAGTTTAAATAAATCATGTGTTGCTTAACGTCGATGACCAGTCACATTTCATCTGGAACAGACACTTAACATTTGCTTTTAAAGTTAGAAGGAAATTAGGGTCTAGGCTTTGGGGCCGCACTGTGGCTCAGTGGTTAGCACTGCTGCCTCACCAGGGACCCGGGTTCGATGTCACCCTCGGGCGACTGCCTGTGCGGAGTCTGCACACTCTCCCCGTGTCTGCGTGGGTTTCCTCCGGGTGCTCCAGTTTCCTCGCACAGTCCAAAGATGTGCCGATTAGGTGGATTGGTCATGGTAAATTGCCCGTAGTGTTCAGGGATGTGTAGATTAGGTGGGTTATAGGGGGACGGGTCTGGGTGGGATGCTCTGAGGGTCGGTGTGGACTTGTTGGGCCAAACTGTAAGCATTCTATGATCTATGATCTATTCTATGATCTCCCTTCTTAAAATATTATGAAAGCGTCTGATCTGGTTCATAACACTGGGAATATTACTCTTCTCAGGAACACCCATTAATGGCTTGGGTAATTATACAAATTGGGTAAGCTGGTGTAGAGCTGGATGAACACAGCAGACCAAGCAGCATCAGAGGAGCAGGAAGGCTGACGTTTCGGGCCTAGGCCCTAACCCCACTCCTATACAAATTGAGTATTGCCAGCAAGTTTAGTTAGGCTAACTGGTTACAAATTTGTGACATTTTCCAGAAAGATGATAATATGGACTTGCTGGTTACAATTACAGGGATTCATCACACTAATTAGTTACTGAAAGTCAAGACATCTTCTTTTCTCCTGCTTCTGGTTTTTACTAATGTGATGTGTTAATTGTCATCATGGTTATGAGGCCCTCATAGCGTACAACATATTGCACTATATTTTTTATTTTGGTGTTTATTGTATTTAATGTTCTGTATTCCTGAGAAGTATGTTTTGCAATCTTGCTGTAATATTGCCACGCTTTTTACAAAATGGGAATATGTAACGTTCAGACAAAATAGAGACTTCGATGAAGAAATTCTGGGAATGCTTCAGTGCTGTAGTGCTGCTGGACTTGTATTGTTGAATTCAGTACAAACTGACCAGATGCTGAGCAAGTTTTCTTTTAATACTTATTCATAGTTACATTTTTTAAAATGAATTACTTATTATGTAATAACCTTCATGGTCCATTCTTACAATTGATGTATAATATTGTAATACAGATTTCTGGCAGTAAGTTAGATATGTGCAATAAACTTTAAAGACCAGGAGGGGGAGTGCTGAGTGAAAAGGAAGGGGGAGCAAATGCAGACCCATGGTACATGCTACCAAAGAACACATGTGGCCTGTACTCGTTTGGACGAAAATACTGTTGTTAGCATCCTTGTGTGGGACTATTCCAATTTAATTTGTAATTAATGTAAATAATGTAGAGGGGCTGAAACAGAGACTGAGAAACAGAGGGGCTGAAACAGAGTGCGAGAAACAGAGTGCGAGAAACAGAGTCTCTGGCTTGCTACAGTGTTCCAGTGAAGCCCAACGCAAACTGGAGGAACAACACCTCATTTTCCGCTTGGGGACCCTACAGCCCTCCGGATTCAATATTGAGTTCAATAATTTTAGGGCCTAAACTCTCCCATGTCCCAGCCTCCCATCCCACTCACCAGGCCTTGTTACCACATAGCCTGCCACCAGACACCCCCTGTTGTTAGTCACTAACAGTCCCCATTAACAACTATTCACCCTCCCAGCCTGATCGTTAGCAACTCCTTTGTCTGTCAAACTGTCTTTCTCTCTCTTTGGGCTCTATCTTATCGTTTACTCCCTTCCCCACCCACCTCCTTATTTTCTGCATACAAACTGACGTTTTCCCAGCCACCATCAGTTCTGAGG